AACCAACTCAGCACTCAAAGGCCACTTCAGTAATACTTGGCTAACAGACTTGTAATAGAATTCATAACTTACAGTTGTCATTAAACTAATTAGAGAATCAGTTAGTTAATTAATTAGATCTCTGTATAGCTCCTCTATAAATGCCTTGATGTAATATCTCATTGAATGGTCAATGAGAAACAGTTCACGTGTTCTCTTCTTCTATATTCTTCATCTTTCTGTCAATCAAAAAAAAAACTGAAAAACTGAATAAGCTAGTTAGCATCAAATAATTATCAGAGTCAGCTCAATCATAGAGCCATTGAAGCCGCCATTTTAGACCCCTCAAATAATTAGGGCCCCATTTTATAGAGGTACAGTTAAGTCTAATGTTTAGATAAAATTTTTAGATATATATTTAATGAAGTTCAACTTTATTTTAGTACATCAAAAAAATAAGATTTAGAGTTTTTAAAATTTATTTGAGTTTGTTGAGCATTTATTATGATGCACAAAATAGTCTTATGCAAGAACAACAGTTGAATGTGTGATAAATGTAATTAATGAACAATTAATAATGTAATCAATAGCAATAATGTAAATATCGGGTCAGCACACAGATATATAGTGGTTTGATCCGGATGACCTACTCCACTCCGGGAAAGGGCAACGGTGATTGGGGGACCTTTATTGATAAAGTATGATAATCGAGAGAGAGAACAATGGTTAACTCCGAGAGGAATACAATAGCTAGGAGAGAGAGAGAAAGAGAAGCTATGTGTGTGGGTAGACAGATGTAGAAATGCTCTTCTCAATGAAAAAACCTAAAATTTATAGGCACAAAGTCTTAGTTGAGGCAGTGATTTAAGGGCAAAGACACTAATTCTTTGGATTGCTACAAAAGTTAAGTGTCATAAAAGATTGTCTTGATTTTCGAGAGTGAGTATCCCGATAATTGTTTTTCACGTGGTTTAATCTTCTTGGATTCCTTGAATCTTGGACTAAGTTTGACCTATCTTTTAGTTGACTTGGGCTTACTTGATTTATTGGGTCTGGCCCAGTTGAATTTGAGATTGTCAATTTATGTTGTTAACAACGACATAAAATACCATTTGAGTCTATGATATTTAGCTTAAGTTTTATTAATTATAATTTTATTTATTTTTTTTATTTATTTTCATTAATTAGTTTAACATTAAATTTAATAAAATTTTATCTTACCATTATATTAGGTATCACGCTTTATTCAAATTAATTATACCATCTATTGAAAAAACATATTAACAAAACTTAAATACCGAAATCTAATAAATATTTTCATTTCTCAAATGACAATAATATAAATAATATTTTATAATAATTTAAATTTTATTGTAAAATTAATAAGACCCCATTTAAAATTTCATTTTAGGCCCTATTTTGTGTCGAGCAGCCTAAAAAAGCCAAACTAGTCTAACTCAAGTGAAAAGTCAAACTATTCATCAACATAAAATTTAAATTTTACATAAGTAACTGTTTTTTTTTAATCTGTAACAGATCAGATTTATATTCATAAGTAACCAAAGATACATGTGTTGAAGAATCATATGTTGTACACAATTGTTGTCATATACATGATTTTATGAATTCAAAATGTAAAAGTAAATCCAGAAAATCGATTACAGTCCAAGCTAATCGTCGGCTACAAGTAACGATGGATGCTGAGCTGAAACCGAAAAGGTGAAATTGTTGCAGGCAAGAATGGGGGGCTGCTCGGTGGGCATTACCCTCTTATTTCTTTATTTACAAACCCCCAAATATATGTATGCACTTTTGCAAATTGTTGATGAATCAGCTTGGCATTGGCTTGTTCTCCAAGAATGATCTGAAAAGAATATAAGCTAGTCGAGGGCGATACAGTGGAACCTCGTGTCCTGCTCCAGTTACTATTACAAGGGTTAATCCTTCGTACACTTGGCTCCAACCGCCAACCTATATTATGAAAGAAGAAGAAGAAAAATAGGCGACAAAAATGAGCATATATTTTCGCCATATCAGTAAAAACCATAACCATGTGTTAATAGTTCTTGTTTTGAGTCTTTTGACACCTTCACCAGATTACCACTATGAAATTATACGAGTAGACAACTAATTACAACTTTATTAATCCGTTTTTACTAACACTATTCGTATTTTAAGATATTCTGGTATGAGATACTGATAACAATGTTGTGATCGTGCAGCAATTATGGTGAATAATAAGGAATCAAACAATTAAGAAAGCAAGAGAAAATAACACACAGAGATTTACGTGGTTCGGCAATGTGCCTACATTCACGAGAGCGAGCGGCTGTTCTTTTTCATTATTAAAAGTAGGGTTACATCTTAAGTATTTATATAACCCTAATACGGACGTATTTATAAAAATACCCCTGTACCATACCGCGGAGGCGTTGCCCCCGCACCCCCAACTAATCAACGTCCCCTTTATACAAATCCCACTCCGGCATCTACCTCCTTGCTATTGTGCACACAGTAAATATGAGTCACACATACTCTAACAAACAAAAAGGGAAAAGAGGTAGCAAGAACTATCAACAAAATAACCGATATATACTTGAAGAAGAGGGCCAAGATCCCCCACTAACTGGGTAGGGAAAATGTGATAATAAGGATTGCCATAAACACTATGGAGAAATAGTAAAGATTATTGCTCTTCCTTGAAACTAACTAACCTTTCCATTGTCATACCATGGGTACCAGTTGGTAATAGTTGGAAGCTTCAAAGCATCAATGGAATAACGAGTTGCAGTCAAGGGAACCACCGCATCAGTATCTCCACTGGACAGAAAATTAATCACAAGGTATATGATCAGCCAGATGCACCAAAAAAACTAGAGAGTGAGAACCATTATTGTGGCTCAAATCTTCCTCAGCTTCTCAAGTTGTTACGTTGTGTAGTCATACTTTGGATGGGGAACTCAAACATCTCATAAAAAATGGTTTTCATCGCAATAGCAGTTATGACACATAAGTTGGTTATGTAGCATCTTAAAATCAACAACGCCAAATTTTTGTTCTTAACTACTTTATAACAAACATAGTAGAAGTCTTGAGCAACAAAAACACGCCACTATTTATGCTCCAATAGACAGACTTAATTCGAATGCTACTGGAAATACAGTGATTTCAGTTCAAGTCGAGTCCAAGTTCCACCAACCATGCGATAGTCTGTAATAGTTGGTGGTGACCGGGTAAGGAATCAAGATAATATGATAGGTGTCAACTTCTCATCTAAATTTTCATGCCTGTAAATTGACCAAAACCAGGATGATATCCTGATAGTCTACAGAGTAATTAGGATTACACATCCTTATGGACACTGCACTTAAATCATAAACCAGAGGTATCAGGTGGCATTCCCATGTCATGGATGACAAAATTGGCCCGCCATTCTATTTTTCAATAACATTATGCCACTACAGAGCTGATTCTGCTCATTTCAAAGTACACAGAAGCCTTGAAAAACACCCAAAAACGAGATCATAAGCTGCTGGTATGTTCATATTAAATATTTTCTGTCTCGACCAGATTTCGAAAAAGTTTTTCCAACATGGGGAGCATTCCCAGAGAACTGATTTTACACAAACATCTCCCAAGTCAAGGCATAGTTGCAGGTGATCATTTTGGGCATTTTACTCTTCTCTCTAAAGCCCACGCCATGTTAGACCTCTTTTAGGTTACTTGTTCTTTGTTTTTGTAGTTTAAACTTTGTTTCTTTTAATCTACATATATACAGGAGTTAATCTTTTAGTTTTTTTAGAAGTGTTTCTTCCTTATTACCATTATTACATTCGATTATGTTTATGACTTAGACCATATCAGTTTGGCATGTAGGTATACAATCTTTACAAAATTTTATTTGTCACAACATGTCAACCTCTTTCTTCCATCAACTGCACCACCCTTAAAATCCCTAAAAGATGACAACCACCTTTTAGACCGATTAGTCAATTGGTAAACGAAAAACTAAAGCAACGAAAAATACAACTGGTTCTTCCCACGAGACAAACCAATGAATCTCTTTAAGATAAACCATATATTTAAAAGAAATTATAAGAAATTGATAAAGAAGCAAAAGTGGACTATTGGAGACTGGGAAGTAATATATCTGCCACTGGCAGCTTATACTATTAAGTTTACAGAGAAACTTAATACGATATGAGAGAGGTAAAGAGAGGTTTTGACTTACCCTACCTCTCACTATTAATCTGGTATTTATAGTTACTAAACAACGAAACAAAATACGAGTATACCCTTAGTGTGGTATACATATTACAATAAACATAAACCCTAATTATATTATAATAGCTTTCTCAACACTCCCTCTCAAGCTGGACTATAGATATCATATAATCCAAGCTTAGAATAAATATCCGCAAGACGAGAACGATTCAATGCTTTGGTGAACATGTCTGCAAGTTGATCTTCAGATCTCAGAAACAGAGTTGCAATGTCTCCATGCGACAACCATATTATGTTTTTACTTCTTAACAAAAGTTCTCAAATATAGAGCATAATTCAGAACAGACTTTCATAAGAAAATAACCAAGTCACACGAGAATAATCATCCACAAATGACATAAAATAAGAAAATTTATTAGATAAAATATTTTTTATTGGACCCTATACATCTGAATGAACCAAAACAAATAGACTCGATACACGGTTATTAACTCTTGATTGAAAGAAAACACAGTGATGCTTACTAAGTTAACAAGCCTCACAAGACACAGATGTGGCAGCAATTTTGAATCCAGAGCTGAAGGACATATCTGAGTTCGACCCACTAAATTTGAAGCAAAGTACGGTTAGTAATGAAAGGGCAGCAATCCTTGCCATCTTGATGGTGGCCTTTGTTGCCTGGGACCTGATGAGTAATGAGACTTTTGAAATAGCATTTACACAATTAAATTGACAAGCGTAAATAAAAACTCACAGCGGCAGTGAAAACTCCGGTAATCACTGATCTTTAATTCTGTTAAACATGACTAAAACTAGGGACTTAGCACTTCAGATTCTGGAACAAAGGATGACCAAACTGACAGTGTAACTGAAAGGAAGATGACGAGGTCTGAAATACCCGAGGGGATGTATCAAGGTCAAGATAATAGAGATCACCAACTTCATGCCCCGTATCAATCTTCCTCTTCATCTAGAGATCCTAAAATACACAGTAGGAAGGGAAAAAAGTTATAGAACAATTAAGAGAAGGAGTAATTTTATTAATAGAAAGTAAACTAAAGAGGCACTGAGGAATAAATAACACTGATGATAAGGGCATATCAGTACTCAATTGAGTAGTCCTCAAACCTGAAACTTTAGAGGAAGTGTCATTAACAAGAGTAACACTATGTCGGGAATTAACAGACTAGTAAGTAGAAAAGGCACCAAATGAACCGATTATGTGGTCAAAGGCGCCAGAATCTATGATCCAGGGACTACGAGTGGAGGACAATAAACAAGTGGAAGCAGTACCTGACTAGACAAACGTGGCAATGGAGGACGATAGAACAACCTGTTGTTGGGACAGGAGCTAAGCATACTCCTCGCAGTTAAGTGTAGCAAACCTAGAGTCAGGTGGAGCTGGATGTGATTGGGATGAATTATCATTCTGATAAGAGGTCTGATTAGCAACACCTGAAGACTTGCCATGTAAATCCCAACAATAATCAATGGTATGTCATCCACGACCACAATGAGTGCACCCAAGTGAACCAGATCGACCACCAAGACCTCTAATACGACCTCCCCATCCTCCACAACCACCTCATGAACTATCATTATAGCTAGTAGGAACAACAAGTGTTTGAGCGATCATGAGGTAAACTACGGTCAACACTAGAAGTCCCAGTAAACAATGTAACACGTTGTAAACGAGAGAAAACCTCAAGCAGAGATTGGAGACTAGAACTACCCAAAATCTGAGAATGAACAACCTCATATTCAAGTTCCAAACCCATCATGAAATGAACAGCATTCATATCTTCATGTTGCTTCTGCTACACTGCAACATCAGTGGGGAACGGGGGATAGAGTTTCAATTCCTCACAAACTCTCGTGACATGGGAATAATAATCTGCAAGGTTTAAATTGTCTTGGTCTAAACAAAAGTACTGTTGATACATCTCATATGCACGAGTAAAATTACCTGTGCCCGAATACATAATGGCCAAGTAGTCCCAAATTTCTTTAGATGTGTCAAGATAAAGTAAAGTGGAGCTCATATCAGAATTAATACTATTCAATAATAAAGATATAATCTGAGCATCTGCATGTTTCCACTGATCATACCCAAGAGTATCTTCCTTGGGTTTAGGATCCACTAAATATTTCTTGAGGCCCTTACCTTTCAAAAATAGTTGGACTGATTGTGACCATAAAACATAATTAGTCTCATTAAGCTTGATTGACGTCATAGGACCATTAAATAGAATAGTGGAAGACAAACCAGGTGGCACAGGAGAAGTAACAACGGATATGTCATCATTCTTGGATTCCATAGCCATAGGGGGGCTGAACAGTGCAAAAAAAAGGCTAAATCAGGCAAAGCAGTGCTAGATCGCTGAACTGGCCAACAAGAACTCGCTGGACTGCTAAACCGAACAAGAGAGGTTCGCTGGACTGCTGAACCAAATAGCAAAAAATTAACTAGACCACTGAACCGGAGGAAAAGCTTCACTGGACTGCTGAACCGAACAGGCGAGGTTCACTGGACCACTGAACCGGAGGGAAAAACTGATAGAACCAGTCTGAACCAATGCAAGAATGACTGAACTGGGATTAAATCAGACTTGGACCAGTCTGGTCTGAAGGCCGTTGGATCTGGGCTGGATACGGATCTAGATCTGGATCTGGATTGGGCTTGAGGCTAGTTGAAGCCCGTTGACTTGGACCCGTTACCTAAACCCGCAACCGACCCGTGTGGGTCGTCTTCTTCACTAACTAGGGTTTCAACCAAACCTAACTCCTATTCTTCAATGTCAACAGCGCTCGCTCCAGTCGATGTTACCAAGGAACCCCAATGGCCACACTACCATAGAAACCACCGGAAACCACACCAGTCGATGGCACCTCACACCCAACCAGTGGTTACACTACAACAGCAACGAGGAATGTCGACAGCAACACCACACCACCACTACCATAAACAACACCATTCAGTAGAGAACCACCGAAACCACCATCGATTTCACTCCGAAGCTACACTATTGGGAATGCACAGATTCAGTGCAAACCCATTCAACACCGATGGACGCAGTGAAGACACGAAACAGAGAAAAAGGAAAGAAGGCAAGAAAAGAAAAAGAAAAGAAAAAGGGAAAGGAAAAGAGAAAGTGAAAAAGAGAAAAAAAGATTAATAGGAATTTAGACTTGACTTTGCTATGATATCATGTCAAGTTTAAGGAGAAGTTTAACACAGTATGAGAGAGGCAAAGAGAGGTTTTGGCTTATCCTACCTCTCACTATTAATCTTGTATTTATAATTACTGAACAACGAAACAAAATATGAATATGCCCTTAGTGTGGTATCCATATTACAATAAACATGATCCCTAATTAACTTAAACTCTAATTATATTATAGTAGCTTTCTCAACAATATAAAATAACTCCCTCATAAAATGAATGTGAAAAAGAGGCTCATGAAGTAAATGGAATGAAAAGGCCCCAACAATAAAAAGCAGTCCTCTGAATATTCATGTACCCATACAAGGACTTGACAAGTTAAGATGGCCAATCCACCCACATACTCATTTTATTTGAATCGCCAAAGACATAACACATGTATATAATACACATACACCAAAAAAACTTTTCTATGATTTTCTTTTGGGGGAATTATGGATGGTGGGGATGCTTGACCCCTGCCAGCAGAACCCATAAACCAACAGTTTCTGAACTCTGACCTACCCTCAAAATTAAAAAAAAAATAAAAATAAAAAATTATACATGTGTATAGATGTATATGTTTTAGACATGACTCGCATATAATGCATTGTGCCCACCATATCAGTCTCATACTTGAGTAATATTTTTTGATATTACGAGTTGCGATTAGTTTATGTAGATGTTTGATCATTTCTACTGTCTTAGGTCTTTCTTCAGTTGGCCTAAATTTTTTATATTTAAGATTTGTTCGTTTTAAGTTCTTAATTTGACAAGTGATATCTCTTGCAAGTGTCTTTTATTTTCATGCGAATGACCATCTCTATTTTTCTGTGACTATAAAATGTTATGTTTCAGGTTTTTCTAGAGAGTTTTAATAGTATACTATGCTTAATTCTTAGATTTTATTGTCCATAACTTTGCTATTTTAATATGCAATAATAATACAAGTAATATATTTCTTCAAATTAAAAGGTTATGAAAATCGTTGTGTAACCGAATTGTTACAATTAGTCTTTTTCTTAAAGGGTTGCACTTAAGACTTTTTTTCTTTGATTGTGTATTTTCAGTTTTTGGTCTTTTGTGTCTAATAATTTTTTTACTATCGAATAAACCATAGTTTAATGTATATATATTACTTTATTTTTATCTATAGGGAAAAAATTAACTGTGCCCACCCAGGAGTAAATTTCTCACTCCACCCCTGTTTCTGAACCATCCTATCACAAACAATCAGAAGTTTATGGCCAATGTATAAACATTCTAATAACTAGAAGTTGCTGTCTGCAAAGAACTGAGTGCGCAGGAAAAAAAATTACAAATATCAGGAAAAGAGACAGATGGGACTGCACCTGAATACCCATATCCGGAGACCAGCAGATATTAGTTCTCGGTAGATAGGAAGCATGGATAATGGAGAGTCTGCCCAGTGGTTACCAACAATGTCACTGCAAAGCAAATAATTCAATCAACATGCTATTATTACGCACATAAGAAAAAGCATGGAAACTTCCAATCGTGAAAAATACCTGCATGTTTTCCATGGATAAGGAATCCCAGTTATATTGGCGTGAAATGCCTTCTGAACTTCTGGAAGATTGAAGTATACTTGTGAATATCTTTCAGAGCAGGGATCATATGCTCTGGACATCCATGGCTAAATTCAAAAGCAAAAGTTGTGAGTTCAACTAAAACAAAACCATTTAACAACATTCAAGGAACAGTCAAACAATGTTTAAACTACTGAAAGGAGCAACAATTGAACCCCTGGAACGTGTGATGCAAAATTTTAAAGCCTATTGACAGTGACACATTCCAACTTTTGGAATATTTTGTGCTTAACTTTGACCTTCATTTTCAGTCCGGAAACTATCATGAAAGAGTTGGAAGGTAGCTTTAGTGATCACCGCATAAGCGATAGTAAGAAAGAATGGATTACCACTACAAAATACCATATATTCCAAATTTTTTGGAATTTTTGCTTGTGATGAAGATAAATTGACCAAATTGGTAGACATGATTTATATAGAATTCATGTACCTAACAAAAGAAATACAAAAGCAGGGAGTTAAGAAACTAGTATTAGCAATGACCAACGACCACAAACCTAGACAGATACTTGTATTCATTTTTCTCGGCAGATAAAAATTTGTTGTTACTTGTAAGAGGCTTAATTCAGGTATCGTACCATTCAAACAGCTCCACACGAAACAAATTTATGGACTGGACAAATGATTTGTCTTTCCCACTTCTCTTCTTACTATTACTACTAGCCAAATTAAGAGAACAACCTTTGCCAAAGGAGTATGAAGTATGCAACTTCTGGTTGAACCTGGAGTCAAATTGAGTGGTGCCTCCCAATGTGCAGGAACATTATAAGTGGTCAATCGGATCACATGCTAGAAGAATGCAGTGGGGATCAGGTCAGACATAGATCCAGTTCACCATTTGTGAAATTGTAGCATGCAAAAAAGCATTTCGGACCTTTGGCACACTTAAAACGTTGACAACAATTCTGTTTCAATCAGCTTAGAACCATGGCATGTAGACACATGAAATGCAGGCTCCAGTCAGAGGTTAATTGTGCACTTCTCCACTCACATTGAGAAATTTCTTTAGCATAAACATGTATTTGTTACATGTTACCAGAAATGTCACCCCTTGTTCCAAATAGCACAATATCCTTCTATCTTTTAGCCTGCATAAGCCAAATCTGGTCTTGTTTGTATTCTCATATTATTTCCAGAGTTTTTTGGCCTAATCATTGTGCTTTTAACTATTTCTGGATATATTTCCTGTTGTTTTGCAAACAAAAAAAATATGTATTGGGAATTCAGCAATTTCAAATAACTGTGCTGGTATTCCGAGATTCTTTCAGATGAAAACCACCATCTAAGAGTGTTATCAATCATAATACAACCACCAAGTCTTTGGGATCTAAGACTACAGTGAGCTTCCATTCAATTAACTTCGTTAGAATTCCCTTTTAACAACTCAATAACTTCGTGAGGTTTAATAAATGCTTACATAGTGACCCCTTAAGTTGTGCTGTAGTGATGAAGCATCATTGCAAGGGCGTGTGTAAATGCTGTACAGATTGATGTTTCCCCCTTCCAACTTTGCAGCAGTGAGAGCCTTAATGCAATCGCTTGACGGATGTGTAGCAGATTCATAGTCGCAGGCTACTTGGAGAAGTTTATAAGTAGAATCTGAAATTAAACCACGAGTCCACCAGTATTCAAAGGTGCCAATATAATCATGGAAATCATCAGTAACAGCATTCCCCACCTAAAAGAACATTTAAAGAAGAAAAAAAAGGGAAAAGGTAGCCATTAGATAAAGGGTATTCACAATTATCAGAAATCCAATGTGCTCCATCGAGACTTCTCATAAGGCTTACCAAGAAACCTTTAAAATTGATAACTGGATTTTTAATTCCCTGGTTTCTTTGGTAAATAATTTGAGACAACTGAGGAACATAATGACCTGGAATAGAGACAAATAGGCTGATTAGCATATCCTTCTGTTGGGCAATTTACAATAAAAACATATATACAAGATGGAATACAACTATCTACCCGCATAGCTTTCTCCAGCAATATAGAAATCTCTATGCTTGTATTGTGGAAACCTTTCGAACCACTTGATAAGAAATGTATATGAATCTTCAGCTACAAATTCAGAACATATGGATCCCCAATACAAGCAAAAGTTAGAATTAACTAAGTCTAAGATAGAACACCATTGTTACTGAAATGTATTTCAAACTGCATATAGCTACAAGATAAGCAAAAACATCAGGTGAGGAAAGATCTGTCACAAAAAAGTTATGGATAACACTATTTTAGTGAAAAGTGGTACCATAATGAAAATGCTTACCATGTGTTTGTAATAATTGATACGATCAAAAGTAGTAATGTAATGTAAAACAAAAAAAATAAAGAAACATGAGGCGTGCACATTTAATTGGACAAAAAAGGAGAAACTGGACATTACCTGTCCTCTGGTCTCCTGCTGTATACAAATCTGATGACGTGTTAGAGTATGAAAAGCCAACACCAGCGGGTGATTCAAGAAAAAGCACATTTGCCACTGCCAACAAATCAACAAACTCAAACACGTCATATACATTACAAAAAGAACAATTACGGTCAAATAACCCAAGAAATGACTCATCAATTAGTCACGTACAGTTGTTCCATGAATAAGGATTCAAGAAAAGGGTCTTCCCATCAGAATTAATACGAAAAGGCCCAATCTCTTCAGCAGCACCATAAGCGATAGAAGAACAACCAGGCCCTCCATTGAGCCATAAAACGAGTGGTCTTGACTGAGGACCACGACTAGCCGGTGCCTCAATGAACCAGTAAAACAGTGCCCTTCCTGCTTGCTGATTTACAGTCACATAACCCGAGTACTGGGTGAAACCAACATTGGCTGGTTGTCCAGGTAACTCTTTGATCCTATCTCTCTCTTGAGCTGCACTGGACAAAGAATAGCAAGTACCCAGAAAAAGGAATAACAAGCAAAGTACAAAGAACAATGAATGCTCCATGAACCAATCAAGTCAAAACAAAGAAAACAAACAATTCTCAGAAACACTGATCCCAAAACAATTCTGGGCGTCCAGGGAACTGATCAACTGAGGAATATATGAATAGAAAACTAACAAAAAGGGACAAAACCCAGAAACACCAATCCCAAAGTGTTTCCGGGTTTTCGTGGAAGTTAATCTACGTAACAAAAGCCTAAATAAAAGGATAATGCTAGATGAATTTAAAAATTAAATTTAAAAATTAAATTTGATAATTTTAATCATTGAAAAGGTAGTGAGTCTCAATAAATTCTAGAATTAACAGTGAAATCAATAGTTAAGATTATCAAATTTAATTTTTAAATTTATGTACCATTGCTCAAAATAAAAACAAATTCTTAACTACTTGAGCACCTCGCCAACAAAACTCATGTATCAAACAGTCAACAACTACAAAAAAAAAATAAAAAACGAGTTGAACACAGCTACTCAACTTGCTTTCGGTACCATGCCGAAAAGTATGTTGGTCTGTGTTACACGTGATTCGTTAAAATTGATTTTATCGGTATAGTGTTGAACCATAAAAATAGTTATAACACGTATCCAAAAAATTTATAATCCCTCCCCTCAAAAGTTGGAATCTTTAACCAAAAAAATTGGAACTCCTACTCAAAAAGTTAGAATCTCTATCCAAAAAAAATGGAACTCTTTCTCCAAAAAATTGAAACATCTATCCAAAAAATTGAAACTCCTACCCAAAAAAGTTAGATCCCCTCCCTCCAAGAGTTAAAACCTCTATCCAAAAGTTTGGTTAGAACCTCTACCTAAAAAAGTTAAAACTCTACTCAAAAAATTTGGAACCCCTCATCTAAAAAGTGGGAACTTTTATCCCAAAAAGTTAGAACCACCCCAAAAAAATATAATTCAATCCTATAAAATTAAACTTCATCCCAAAAACTTATAACACAATTCAAAATAATTGAAATCTCACCAAAACAATTGTAATCTAGTTAATTCTAGTCTTCCCAAAACTTGGAACTCAATCCAAAAAGTTATACTCATGCCCACATAGTTGGAAGCATTATTTATAATTCTTTTAATTTTTTGATTTTGTTCATTATTTATTTGTTGTTAATAAAAAATGTGACTATTTAAAAAATATTAAATATTTTTTGACTGCAGTAGGAATTTTTCGATTATTTAAAGGATAAAAGTGTGATAGTTAAGGGATAAAAGTATGATATTAACCCTCAATCGGTTGTCCATTTCTTGAACCGCTCTTAATTCTTCTAGTTGTAAATTACACTTACACCCCACAAATTATAATATATTATTTTTTTATTTTTCAATTTATATTGTGATCCACAAATCACAAAAACCTAATCTTCTCCCTTCACCCACTTTCCCGCCCAAACCATTTTTCATTTCTATTGCCTTCCCTTCATCTCTTTTACCGTACATCTCTTCTCCCTTTCACCATACAAAAGTATTTGTTTGGTTTAGAATTTTGTATTAATATGATGAATTGAATATTAAATGTTAATTTGTTGAATTAAATGTTTATTGAATGAAATTGTGTGTCATTTTGATGTTGGTTTCTTAAATTGAACATTTATTGAATAATTTTTGATGCTAATTTGATAAATTGAGTGTTAATTTAATGAATTTGAATATAAATTAGATGATGATAAAAAAAATATAAATTAGATTAATTGGATGTTAATTTTGTGTTAATTTGATGAATTGAATATTAATTAGATGTGATTAAATGTTAAATTGATGAATTAAATGTTTATTAAATGAAATTGAATGTTGAAACTCAATTCATAAAAGTTGTATTCTAACTTAAAAAAAAATTGTAACACCAACGTTACCCACCTCTAACATATAACCTACCAAATAATTTGATAAATTAAATATTAATTTGGTGTTAATTTGATAAATGAATATTAGTTAGATTAATTGAGTGTTAATTGAATGAATTTGAATATAAATTGGATGAATTGAATGGTAATTTGTTGAATTTGAATGTTAATTTGATGAATTAAATGTTTATTGGATGAAGTTGAATTTGATTTGAAGAGTTGAATGTTAATCTAGTGTAAATTTAATGAGTTGAATATTAATTGAATTATTTTATTAGATGATTTTGCATGTTAAATGTTTATCTGGGACTATTTGAACACAAAATTCAATATTTTAAGGGTTAAATTAAAAAATTAATATTTTAAGGACCAAATTAATAAATATGTATAATTTTAGGGATGAAAGTGTAAGTCTTCATTTCTAAGCTACGACCGATCGTCGCTTCCTAGGACCGGCCCTAATATTAAAAAAAAATTAATTACACTTTTATCCTTAAAGTTATATATATATATATATATATATATATATATATATATATATATATATATATATATATATATATAGTTCCTAAAATATTAATTTATCAATTTTATCCCTAAAATATTCAATTTTGTGTTTAAATAGTCTGAGACGACTTATAAGATCCAAAATCATCCAATAATTGAACATTCAAATCATGTAATTTAATCCAATTAATATTATATTCATCAAATTTACACCAAATTAACATTGATTACTTCAAATCAATATTCAATTTTATCTAATAGACAATTAATTCATCAAATTAACATTAAAATTCAACTAATAAACATCTAGTTCATCAATTTAACATTCAATCTCATCTAATTAATATTCAATTCATCAAATTAACACCAAATTAAGATTCAATTATTTCAATTTATAATCAAATTCATTTAATTAACACTTAATTTATCAAATTAACATCCAAAATCATCCAATAAATATTCAATTTATCAAATCAACTTCAAAGTAATATGCAATTTCACCCAATTAATACTCAATTCATCAAATTTACATCAAATTAACATTCAATTCTTCAAATCAACATTTAATTTTACCTAATAAACATTTAATTCATTAAATTAACATTAAAATTCAATTAATAAACATTTAATTCATCAACGTAACATTCAATCTCATCCAATTTATATTCAAATTCATTCAATTAACATTCAATTTATAAAATTAACATCGAAAATCCTCCCAAAGAAATTCAATTTAACAAATTAACACCAAAGTAACATACAATTTCTTCCAATAAACATTATATAAATAACAAATTAACATTCAATTTCATCTAATAAACATTTAATTCTTCAACTTAACATTCAATCACATCCAATTAATATTCCATTCATAAAATTAACATTCAATTCATCGAATTTATATTCAAATTCATTAAATTAACACTCAATTTATCAAATTAGAATCGAAAATCATCCGACAAAAGTTCAATTTAACAAATTAACATCAAAAGTAACATACAATTTCATTCGATAAACATTTAATTCATCAAATAAATACCAAATTAATATTCAATTCAACAAATTAACATTCAATTTCATTGAATAACATTTAATATTCAATTCATCAAATTTATATCAAATAAACATTCAATTCATCATATTAACACCAAATTAAAATTCAATTCATCCAATTAATATTTAATTCATTAAATTAACATTCAATTCATCAAATTAAAATAAAAAATAATGTAATAAAGATTTAATTCATCAAATCAACACCAAATTAATATTCAATTCAACAAATTAACATTAATTTAATCTAATAATATTTAATATTCAATTCATCAAATTTATACCAAATAAACATCCAATTTCATCAAACAAACATTCAATTCATCATATTAACACCATATTAAAATTCAATTCATCTAATTAATATTTTATTCATTAAATTAACATTGAATTCATCAAATTAAAATAAAAAATCATCTAATAAAGATTTAATTCATCAAATCAACACCAAATTAACATTCAATTTAACAAATTAACATTTTATTTCAAATAATAAACATTCAATTCATTAAATTAACATTTAAATTAACTATTTAACATTCAATTCATCAAATTAACACCAAATTAACATGCAATTTTTCAAATCAACACCAAACTAACATTCAATTCATTAAATTCGCATTCAATTCTATCTAACAAACATTTAATTCATCAAATTAACCTAACAATCAATTCCATCCAATAAAATTTTAATTTATCAAATTAACACTAAATTAACATTCAATTCATCCCAATATATATTCAAATTCATCCAATTTACATTGAATTCATCAAATTAACATCCAAAATCATCTAATAAAAATTTAATTTATCAAACCAACACCAATGTAATATAAAAATTCATTGAATAAATATGTAATTCGTCAAATTAACATTCAATTCAACAAATTAACATTCCATTTTATATAATAAATATTCAATTCATTAAATTACACTGTAACAAAAACAGTGTTCAGTAATTTTGTGCAGATGGTAACAAATTCAAAATGGAGATGGATTATTTTGAATTAAATTATATGAAACTATATGTTTGAAAAAATGTAATATTACAATATTTTGTGTAAATAGTTTGTTACACTGTTAAATTTTTATTGTTACACTGCTAGACTGTTATGGTTACACTATTACACTATTTAGATATTAAATTAATTTGAAAATAAAACTACTTTTCAAAAAAAAAAAAACACATGAATCAAGGTGCATTAAATATAATTTGAAAATAAAATCACTTTCCAAAAAAAAAATATATGCATTAATCACCGTGCATTAAAAATAATTCAAAATTTATATAAGATATTTAACAAGTATATATATATATAACGCATGAATCAAGGTGCATTAAATATAATTTGAAAACAAAATCACTTTTCACAAAAAAATTCGCATGAATTAAGGAAGGAATACGAAATAATTTTTTGCATCTAAATGTAATATAAACTTGTAAAGTGTTTTATAATATAACAACCAAACGACCCCAAAATCTATAATTTCTCTATTAACATAATCATTTTAAACTTAGATACTGGGCATCTCAAAAAGTGAGAAAAATAAACTTTAAATAAAATATCTCTTTTTTAATTATCGCTTTAAGCCCCAAAATGTCATTGGCTGCCCCGATTATTAAAATTATGTGAAATCTATGGTTCAAGAAATAACACGAAAAGCCAGAGCCCTAGTCAAGCCTCCTATCGTGTGTTCCCGTTATAAAGACAAAATGCATGTAGTAGTAGGAATATGAA